AGCTTCCTATTTAAATGCCACATCATTTGTAGAAAGCCATAAGTTCAGAACCACTCATAGTTTATAGTGGGCCTGACTCCTTTCAGTTCCCAGTGGGTATAGCACTGGCTCTGAAGAATGTAGAGCATGGCCTAGGAAAACATGTCTAAAAGATCTACAAGCGGGCTAAAGTTTGTGCTGAGCTGTGTCCACAAATCAGCCTTGAAGGCAAAGAAGTGAATTCTGAGGAACAGACAGAAGGAAATTGGGGAAAGTGTGGCGTGAGGGATGCCATGTCTCTCCATAGTCCTTTCCTGTCTCATTTCACAGCCATTAATTGGGCCCAGGCCCTAACTGGCCATATGCCCAGAGGTTGCTGCTGGTTCCCCAACAATCCCCTCCCTTCAGACTCCTCCTGTCCAGTTCACACATTAGTGTCCTTCCTCAGACATGCCACTCACCCTGTTGCTTCCCTGCATGGCAATTTATCATGAGTCCCTGTTACCTAGTGCATCTCATCTCAGCCCAAGTTTCGGGGTCCTTCATCCAAGAAGCATGGTATTAAAACAGGAGCCCTGGGCTTCCCTCGTGGCGCAGTGGTTGAGAGTCCGCCTGCCAATGCAGGGGACACGGGTTCGTGCCCCAGTCCGGGAAGATCCCACATGCCGTGGATAGGCTATGCCCGTGAGCCATGGCCGCTGAGCCTGTGCGTCCGGAGCCTGTGCTCCGCAACAGAAGAGGCCACAACAGTGAGAGGCTCACGTACCACAAAAAAAAAAAAACAGGAGCCCTCACTTCAGCCTTGGCTTTTGCAGCATTAAAGCTGTGTGACTTTGGGCAAGTGGTTAAAGTTCCCTTGCCTTCATTTTCCTTCTCTGTAAGATGACTGGGGACTGAGGTCTCCAACTGTAAATGATATCTTGGAATTATTGATCCAACGTGATGGCCCTGGTCTCACACAACCCAGGAGTGCCCAGATTCAAATATGCTGACCCACAATCCCAATGGCATCTATAAACTTGGCAGGCCTCGTCCCAGGTTTTGGTTTTGGAAAGGTCACCATGCTGGCTTTCCAAGGCCGTCTCCTATTATTCTCCATAGTGTTCCTCTGTTCCAGACAAGTCTGTGGTCTCAAGAGCTCTGAATAAACCTGAATGTTTCCATCCTATATGCTCTGGCTCTGAGCCACTGCGACTGCCAGGAAGCTGCCCCTGGTCCCCTACACCACCCCATGGCAGTCAACTTCCAGGTTAAAGCCCAGCTAATCCAGAAGCCCTCACCAGTACCTACACCTAACAATGGCCACTCCTTTCCATGGTGGCAAACTCAATAGCCATATCCTTGGTCTCAGGGGCCTTTGGCAATCTATGTATTTAAAACTTCCAATCATTCCCCCAAGAGTGCTTTTTTAAAGAAACGTAATTGTCATTGTGCAATAATTCAACAATGTATCATAGACGTTTTCTCTCACTGTCTCAGTCTTCAGAGGGTGTTACTGATGCCTTGGGACTCTGCTAATTCTTCCCCTGTTATTTTTTATTTTTATTTTTATTTCTTTTGGCTGTGTTGGGTCTTCGCTGCTGTGCACAGGCTTTCTCTAGTTGCAGTGAGCGGGGACTACTCTGTTGCAGTGCACGTGCTTCTCAATGCGGTGGCTTCTCTTGTTGCGGAGCATGGGCTCCAGGCACATGGGCTTCAGTAGTTGTGGCGCGCGTGCTCAGTAGTTGTGGCTTGTGGGCTCTAGAGCACAGGCTCAGTAGTTGTGGCACATGGGCTTAGTTGCTCTGCAGCATGTGGGATCTTCCCTGACCAGGGCTCAAACCCATGTCCCCTGCATTGGCAGGTGGATTCTTAACCACTGTGCACCAGGGAAGTCCCTTCCCCTGTTATTGTTGGGCAATTGTTTAGTCTTTCAATATCATAACTATCTCAGTACATATGACTTTCTGAATATTTTACATTATTTTCCTAGTGAACTCAGATGCATTGTTATTGTAAGACATAAACTTTTTGTGGCGTCTTGTAGTTCGGCAACACTTGCACGTATCTCTAGCTGACTCGCGTGCGTCCACCTCTAACAGGTGTCCCAGACCTCCTTCTCTGTGCCTTCAGCCTCCACATACTCCCCCTGCCACCCTTACACTCAGAAGATGGCCTTGTCTAAGGCACTGCATGACTTTGCCTCCAAGGTCCCGGCCTCTCCAACTATTGCCTGATTCAGTTGTTCTCAAACTCCAGGTGCATTGAATTGCCTGGAGGGCTTATTAAAACACAGATTGCTGCCCCCTTCCTTGAGTTTCTGACACAGTAGGTCTGGGGTAGAGCTGGAGAGCTGCATTTCTAACAAACTGCTGTGGTACTGAGGCTGCTGGACCGGGGTCCACACTTGGTGAACTCCTGCTCTAATTCTTTCCTCAGATATCAGGGGAAATAGGTTAGCTTCTCTAGCTTGTATCCACCCCACTACCTGTCCTCTGAACCTCCTTCCCATCTTCTCCAGGACTGAACTCCTACTCCTAATCTGTTTTTTTCTAGTGTCTTCAATCTGCACCATTGAAACTTCCCTTACTCCATACTTCAAGCCCCCTCCCATCACTGCTATTTTATTTTATTATTTTTTTAACATCTTTATTGGAGTATAATTGCTTTACAATGGTGTGGTGGTTTCTGCTTTATAACAAAGTGAATCAGCTATACATATACATATACATATATCCCCATATCCCCTCCCTCTTGCATCTCCCTCCCTCCCACCCTCCCCATCCCACCCCTCTAGGTGGTCACAAAGCACCGAGCTAGTCTCCCTGTGCTACGTGGCTGCTTCCCACTAGCTATCTATTTTACATTTGGTAGTGTGTATATGTCAATGCCACTCTCTCACTTCATCCCAACGTACCCTTCCCCCTCCCCATGTCCTCAAGTCCATTCTCTATGTCTGCGTCTGTATTCCTGTCCTGCCCCTAGGTTCATGAGAACCTTTTTTTTTAGATTCCATGTTATATGTGTTAGCATACAGTATTTGTTTTTCTCTTTCTGACTTACTTCACTCTGTATGACAGACTCTAGGTCCATCCACCTCACTACAAATAACTCAATTTCATTTCTTTTTATGGCTGAGTAATATTCCATTGTATATATGAGCCACATCTTCTTTATCCATTCATTAGTCGATGGACACTTAGCTTGCTTCCATGTCCTGGCTATCGTATATAGTGCTGCAATGAACGTTGTGGTACATGACTCTTTTTGAATTATGGTTTTCTCAGGGTACATGCCCAGTAGTGGGATTGCTGGGTCGTATGGTAGTTCTATTTTTACTTTTTTAAGGAACCTCCATACTGTTCCCCATAGTGGCTGTATCAATTTACATTCCCACCAATAGTGCAAGAGCGTTCCCTTTTCTCCACACCCTCTCCACCATTTATTGTTTGTAGATTTTTTGGTGATGGCCATTCTGACCGGTGTGAGGTAATACCTTATAGTTTTGATTTGCATTTCTCTAATGAACAGTGATGCTGAGCATCCTTTCATGTGTTTGTTGGCAATCTGTATATCTTCTTTGGAGAAATGTCCATTTAGGTCTTCTGTCCATTTTTGGATTGGGTCGTTTGTTTTTTTGATATTGAGCTGCATGAGCTGCTTGTAAATTTTGGAGATTAATCCTTGGTCAGTTGCTTCATTTGCAAATATTTTCTTCCATTCTGAAGGTTGTCTTTTCGTCTTGTTTCTGGTTTTCTTCGCTGTGCAAAAGATTTTAAGTTTCATTAGGTCCCATTTATTTTTGTTTTTATTTCCATTTCTCTAGGAGGTGGGTCGAAAAGGATCTTGCTGTGATTTACGTCATAGAGTGTTCTGCCTATGTTTTCCTCTAAGAGTTTTATAGTGTCTGGCATTACATTTAGGTCTTTAATCCATTTTGAGTTTATTTTCGTGTATGGTGTTAGGGAGTGTTCTAATTTCATTCTTTTACATGTAGCTGTCCAGTTTTCCCAGCACCACTTATTGAAGAGGCTGTCTTTTCTCCATTGTATATTCTTGCCTACTTTATCAAAAATAAGGTGACCGGGCTTCCCTGGTGGCACAGTGGTTGAGAGTCCGCCTGCCGATGCAGGGGACACGGGTTCGTGCCCCGGTCCGGGAAGATCCCACATGCCGCGGAACAGCTGGGCCCGTGAGCCATGGCTGCTGAGCCTGTGCATCCGGAGCCTGTGCTCCACAACGGGAGAGGCCACAACAGTGAGAGGCCCGCGTACCGCAAAAAAAAAAAAGGTGACCATATGCATCACTGCTATTTTAGTAATAACCTTTCTCCTACCAACATTACCCAGTTCTAACTAACAAGCCAAATGTCTTTCCTCCTGCTGCAAATTTTTCTGAGCTTGAACTTGATCTTCACTTGCTGCTTCTACTTCTTATCCACGTATTTCCTTTTTAATTCCCGGAAATTTCCCAAGCTCCACTACTGAAACTCTCTGGAAAATTTAAAATTACCCTCTTCCCAAATCCAGTGGCCTTTCTTTATTATGTAATAATAGCAGTTAACGTTGATTGACTTTTAACTGTGCTCCAGGCATTGTGCTAAGCACTGCCTATATATAATATATATATAAAATCTCATATGAAGATTGTCCTTATATCAATTCTATGTATAATGTATTATTTCAGATTTTAAGAAGCTAGGGCTCATAGAGGTTAAATAATTTACCTAAAAGCTGAAGCGAAGGAACCAGAATCAGACCCAGCTCTAATTCTACATCCCACGCCTTTAAACACGACTTGGAACATACATCCCTAAGCACCTATTAAAATGCCAATTCCTGGCTCCAGAGACAGAGGTTCCAAACCAGGGGTGGCTGAGGCCTAGGAGTCTGAATTCTTAATAACCCCCCCACGTGGTTCTGAGGTGGGTATTCCCAGAGGCACATACATTCTGAGAAACTGTCCCTCTGTATTGACATAATGGGCCACTTCCTTTCTTTAAACACTTCCCTCGGTTGCTATGATACAACATTTTTCTCTGGCTCTGTGGGCTCTCCTAGTCTGCTGTTCTCAATCTCCTGCTTCCTCTCCTACCCAGATCAATGCCTCAAACTCTGCCCTCTGCCTTCTCCTTCCTCTCCTGCCTGTCCCTAGGAGCCCGTTCACTTGCAGTGCTCCAACTTGGGCAGATGGTTCCCAACCTTGCCCTTCGTGTGCCAGCATCCTGGTGAGAGTCATGGAGCAGCACGACATGATTTTGGAACAGTGATGACCTATTGCCCAGACCCTGGACAAAAAGGTGAGGCAGGTGCCATTGATCCTGGTGCCGCATTGCCCCACACCACCCTTGGACTTTTCCTCTTGCCTGGAAGATCCCTGTGTTTTGCAACTTTCTGATCAAATCAGTTCAGCAAAAGAGCTGATTATTTTACACAGTCACAGTAATGTGTTAATTCTCCCACTCATTTGCATTGTTAAAGCCGTTTTTTCTCTTTTTCTGGGTTCAACTGTTGTTTGCATGTTGACATTTCAGGCTTCACTTAGCAGGTAGGGGGTATTTAGAGGAAAACTGGGACCAAAGAGGAAGGAGGGTGAGTTGGTTTGGGAGGGCTCCTTCTCTTCCCCTTGAAAATTTTTGAACCTGAGACTCAAAGGCAGCTGGGAGGGCAGGCTTTGGCCTTTCCGGCCTCCTGCACACCAGGGCAGCGGTAGACAGTAATCGCGGCTGCTGCAGACCTGTCCTAAAAGTGCGGAGGGTGAGGACAGACTGCAGAGCAGCTACTTGGCTGGCTTCCTGCCACACTCCACACTCGGAATGGCTGGCTTCTCTTCATCTTTCAAGTATCAGCTTCAATGTTCTCCTCCGAGAGATCAGTCCTGACCACCCCGCTTACGTAGGCCCCTCTGGGCGATTCTCTGTGATGGCAGCTGTTTTCCTTCATTGCATTTTTCACAGTTTGTAATTATCCTACTTGTTTATTCATTTGTTCTTCCTGTCCCTGTTTGGACAGTAAAGCTCAAGAGGACAGAGACTATTCAGCCTTGTTCCCCGCTGTGCTTGTAGCATAATGCTGGCTCACAGTAAATATTCAGTGTTTGTAGCAGGAGTGTCTGGATAGCTACACCTCCGCCACCTGGCCCTTAATGACTAGTGCTTGAACTGAACTAACTGCCCCCCGCAGCTATCCCAGTGCTGAAAGACTGGAGGCAGTTGGAGAGCAGCTTGTTCACCTCACTGCTGGGATAATGCTGGGAGTGGCCTGGGGTGGCATCGGGAAAATTTATGGAAGATTTTGAAAAAGGAAAATGGATTGCTAGGTATCCTGTCTAGCACCCAATCAAGTTATGAGACTTTCATTGTCTTTGAGCTATTTTATACAACTTTTTAAGTTGTATAAAACTGATAGCAATACAAATGAGTCATGTCAATAGGGACGCAAATGAATTTTGTCTAGTGGAGGTGCAATTGATTATTGCCCTGTGGGTATTGATCAGTTTTGCATCCATTTGTAAATTCATATTAACTTTCCTGATTGCCTATATATGTGTGTTCTCTAAATTCTCCTTTGAACTGGGGGGTAACATCTTGCTGCTTGCCTCATGAATTAGGTAAGTAAAAATCTCTGATGTGCAGTAATTTTATATGTGTACAAGAGTCATGATTTTAGCCTTTTAAAAAAATTATCTTTTTAAATTGGATTTTATCAAAATCAAGAACTTTTGTGCATCAAAAAATACTATCAAGAAAGTGAAAAGACAACTTATAGGATGGAGAAAATATTTGCAAATTGTTTATCTGAAAAGAGATGAATATCTGGAATCTATAAAGAATTAAAACTCAACAACAAAAAAACAAAAAACCCAATTCAAAAGTAGGCAAAGGACTTAAATAGTTCTCCAAAGAAGGTATTAAATGGTGAATAAGCACATGAAAAGATGCTCAATATCATTAGTCATTAGGAAAATCAAATCAAAACTACAATGAGATACCACTTCACACCAATTAGGATGGCTATAAAAAGAGAAAAGAAAAAAAGGGGGGGGAAAATAATGTGTTGGTGAGGATGTGGAGAAGGTAGGAATATTAAATGGTAGCTGTTGTGGAAAACAGATTGGTGGTTTCTCAAAGGTTAAGCAGAGAACTCCCATATGACCCAATAATTCTACTCCTAGGAATGTATCAAAAGAATTGAAAGCAGGGGACTCGAACAGATATTTGTATACCAGTGTTCATAGCATTATTACTCACAGTAGCCAAAAGGTAAAAATGACACATGTCTGTCAACAGATGAATGGATAAACAAAATGTGATATAGATCGATAGATAGATAGCTATGATGAATATTATTAAGCCATTAAAAAGATATAAACTGGGGGCACATAAGCATGTAGATGGTCCTCTGAGCCATGGGAATGGCTGATAGAGTAGGGAGAGAAGAACACCCAGCCCCAACCCTGCAGAACATCAGAGCCTATGAAGGCATAGGCTGAAGATGAGGAAAAACTTGAGTGTGGTATCATGGAAGACAAGACAGACTAGAGACCTTACTCCTGACGTCTAGCGTCTCACTGCCCAGTGACTTGGGGTCACTTCAGTGGCTGCTTAATTCTTGTCCTGTGAGAGGGCATCATTCACCAGATAATAATTCTGTTCATAAACAATATTTTATTTTTATTATTATTATTTTTTTTGCGGTACACGGGCCTCTCACTGTTGTGGCCTCTCCCGTTGCGGAGCACAGGCTCCGGACGCACAGGCTCAGCGGCCATGGCTCACGGGCCCAGCCGCTCCGCAGCATGTGGGATCTTCCCGGACCGGGGCACGAACCCGTGTCCCCTGCATCGGCAGGCGGACTCTCAACCACTGCGCCACCAGGGAAGCCCCATAAACAGTATTTTAAACAGCACAATTTATTGTCAGAAATTGTGCAAAATATTTAATATAGGATGCATAAGGACATGATCAAACAAAAAACAAATCTTGACTTAGCTGGGAGAGACGTTTTTCAAAAAAATTTTGCAAGGGTGGGTAGAGGGACTATTGTGAAAAGGAAGGAGGGAGGACAATTGCAACAGGGAGAACCTGCAGGGGCCTCCAGGGTCATGCAAATACAGGGTTTTTTGGCTTGCTTTTTGGTCTTATTTTAATAGAGAGGCACGAACAGGGCTGGAAAGAACCAAATGTGGGAAATTTGAATGAAAGGGTGGTACGATCAGACTGTAGATCAGAGAATATTTTATGCTGAGCCCAGTCTGTTCTCTGTATGCTGGCTCAGGCTGATGGTGGGCCAAAGTTCAGGGGCTTGGAGGGAGGAAAGCAGCTCAACCGAAGTTTGGTTAACAAGCATTTCGATCCAGTTGATCAGTGGGGATGAGCAGTTTAGTTCATCATTTATGAGGCAAAGAATGGGAATTTGCGGGGGTCTATGTGTAGCTTTGTCATAGGTTAAACAGGGGGCATCTGAGGCTTATTTAAGTCATATGGGAAAGAGTGGTTCTTTGCAATAAGCTCTCTTCCAGATCACAAAATCTGGGAAATTCCTTTAATTGGCCCTGTTTTCCAGGAGCAAAGGGCTCAGGCAAAATTCAGCATTGTCACTGTGTGCTGGGATGTGAGGTCCATGCCCCCAGTCGGGGTGACACCCTGGGTCTCTCAATTGGCATAGATATTCCTCTCCAGGGACTTACAGATTACCCCTTGCTGTGAGCCCCCTTTCCCGAGTGTTTATTTAAGTCTTTTGATTCCTTCCTTGAATGAGTGTCCATGCCTGACTTACCAGGAACCTGTTTTATTCTCACGAATGCATCCAAAACAGGCTCAGAACCTCTGCTTGGAAAACCACCACCGCCGAAGTGCAGTCCTGAGGTCGAAGGATTACCCCTTGGAAACCTGCATCCCATGGGCTGAATTCAGCTCACAGAAGCGCTTTGGCCCAAAGGGTGTTTTGCTTTGATTTTTAAACTTGAATTGGATGCCAATATTAAAAATCAGAATATTGAATCTAAAAATCCAGATTGCCACCTTCTCTAGAAAAATGGATTGCTCTAGCAATCCTGGCCTACATTTCTATTGTATGCCTCCTATACTATTGAACAAAATTCCTGACAATAAAGTATGCCATTGAGAAAGTTCCATTTATGGATCCCAGTATTACTTTGGGTGCTGTTGCTTTTATATGGCCCTCCATCTCCTGTTTACCACTGTTCCTCAGAGCCTATTCAGTCATTTAGCTTATCCCTCTGTGTTTAAGTGTTTCCACTTCCAACTATCAGTTATCACCTTCAGTATCAGAACAGCTAGTCAAAGAGGCTTTAGTTTCAGAGAATATGTTAATTAAGGGATCATTGAGGAAAATTGCTTACTATTTACATCTGGTTGCCTGACCCCATAGTAATATGTATCCTTAAATACACAGCAGACCTACTTCACTGGACGTTTCACTTGACTATACAACACACTCTCTACACAGTTAATTCGTGTTCACAAACTGTGAAGTCGTGTGATATGTATTCTTATGAAACCTTGTACATATGTAATTAAATCTGACTTTCTCCTGGTAATCTGTCTCACGTCAATTTAATTCTTAGACCAGCCAGAAGAACTTAGAAAGATAGAGGTTTTCTTTCCTCCTCTATAGCCTCAATGGGGGGAATTATGTCTTTTCCATGATTATAGGCCCAGCCAGACCTTGAAGAAGGATCCAGAGTTACAGCAGCCAACATCTTTCATTATTATAATGTCTCCCTGCTTTGCAGTTTCCTGAATGAGGCCTGAAATCTTGATACCCACAGATATTATATGACAAAAAATAAGTGCCTCAGTTTTCCGGTGACATTTAGAAGTAGATGGTCTCTGCTTCTCATCTCATTGACCTGGTAAGTGTCTCCCTATCTCTTAATCAAAAGGCTCCTTCTCCACCACTGCCTCAGAGAGGTGTTTTATAGACATCCTGTCTCTGATCTCGCCTCCTGGGAGCAGGCCTAGAAATGACAGTCAATTCATTTGGCTAACTGGTATATTGCTGTCTCTCTACTTTGCTTCTCAACTTCCATCCAACCACAGTGTTCGTGCTCTGGCTGCCTCTTCCAGGCACTTACACAAGCGAGTGACCAACCGCTGACCAGATCGCAAAAGAAAACAATTAGATTGTGTCCCTGTCCATGGGCTGAGCTGTACTACAGAGGTTGTGGAGCTGCCTTCTGCCAGATCCTGGCTTATAAATGTACAGGAAGTAGAGCTGACCGTGCCAAGTGTTCGAGGCCTGGGCAATGTCAGTCCTTTGGGTGCTGACTAGGGTCTTTCTCAGCACTTACAGAGCCCCCGTCTGCCTCCATCTTGGTGCCTACAGGAAATTTGTCTTTGGCTATGCAAGCATTTATGTGGCATGAATTCTGAGACCCCAGGAAATCCCACCTATCTACTCCCTAACTTATTCTGCCATGCCTGAAATCGCTTTAATCACCAACACTTCCATTGATCGATTAGAGTCAAAGTTATAAAAACTCTAGGAACTGTTAAATTTTGTAAAATGTAAATTCTTTATTGAAGCACAGCATACATACATAAAAGTACACAAATCATAGGTAGAAATGAACCACTCATGTAGTGAATGCCAGGGTCAAGAAACATTTCCCCAGAAGCCCCATCCCGCCACGGCCTCGTGCCCCCTTCCAGTCACCTCCTCTATACCCACCAGGGAAATCATTATCCTGACTTGTCACAGATAGATTACTTTTCCTGTTGTCTTTTATATGAATAGGACTGTGTCATATGTATTCTTTTGCATATACAGTGCTTCTTTTGTTCAGCCTTACATTGATGAGATTCATCTGTGCTAATGCATGTAGTTGTGGTGTGTCTGTTTTTATTGCTGTATAGTATTCCATTGTGTTAATAAGTCGTAATTTATTTAACTATTCTAATGCTGCTGAACATTTGGGTTGCTTCCAGTTTTTGACTTATAAATAGTGCTAGTGCTTTCTAATTCAGGTCTTTTGATGAATATATGTTCACTTTTCTGTTGAAGGTATTCTGAGGAGTGGGATATATGAGACATAGAATATACCCACATTCAGCATTAGCAGATACTACTGAACACCTTTTTCAAGGTGATTGTACCAATTTACACTCCCATCAGCAGTATATAATAGTCATAGTCATACGACATCTCCATCAGCACTAAGTCTGTCTTTTCCAGTTAGCCATTCTCGTAGGTGTGTAATGGTGTGCATTGTGTTCTTAATTTTCATTTCTCTGATAACTAGTGAAGACAAGCCCTTTGTTTTATGTGCATTGGCTATTTGGACATCTTTTTTGTGAACTGCCTATTCAAGTCTTTAGCGAATTTTTCTATTGGGTTTCTGCCTTTTACTTATTTTTAAAGTTCTTCATATAATCTGACAATTTGATAAATGTGTCTACTGTAATATTTTCTCCCACTCTGTGACTTAAATTTTTTTCCTTTTTTTTGGCCACGATGCATGGCATGTGGGATCTTAGTTCCCTGACCGGGCATCGAACCCGTGTCCCCTGCAGTGGAAGCATGGAGTCCTAACCACTGGACCACCAGGGAATTCCCCTTAACTTTTCATTTTTTAATAAAGTCTTTTAAATGAACCGAAGTCGGTAATTTATTTTTGTCCTTTATGGTTAGCCTTTTGTGTGTCCTATCTAAGAGAATTTCTCCTGCCCTAATGAAGAGATCATGGAATATCATGAAGAGGTTTTCCTGTGTTTTCTTTGAAGGTGACTAATATGTATGGTGTGAATCAAGTTAGGAATTGAGGTTTTTTGTTTTTTTTTTTACCGTAATATTAAATTGGCTCAGAACTATTTATTGAGAAGTCCATACTTAAACCTATGCCATTAATCATAGGATTATATAAGTGTGGATCTGTTTCTAGGCCATACTCAAGAAGAAGTTAATTTTTAAACTAAATCACAAGAATTCCCTCAAGAAATGCTACTTTCCTCAAGTAGCATTTATTATATTCTTATTATGAACTATGCATCATTCTAGGCATTTTAGCTGCATTGTTTCATTTTAAACCTCATAACCCACTATGAGACAGTTATTACTATTATCTCCATTTTATAGTTGAGGAAATAAAGACTTACTCAATTAAAAACGTGCCCATGATCTCCTAGCTAGTAAGTGACAGAGACCTAACTTGATTGTGGGTCAGGCTGATTTTGAAGTGGAGTTCTTTATTATGCTGTTTCCCAGAGCAGCATTTTTTTTCTGGGGGTGGGGGGAAGGGTGGCAGGGAATAAGGGTGTGTGTGTGAGAGGAGGGTGATGGCGTGGAGTGGGGACCAACTTCCCTCACCCCCACCACATACCTATCGTAGTATTTTGTTGCTTTATTTGAGTTATATAACATTGGTGTCCATGTAAATTTTCATATTCATTAAAATAGAACATTTTATAGATTGGGAACCATAGGTTCATGCCATTTACCAGGCACTTCATATATGATAGAATATTTTATTGTTTTTTTTCTATACATTCGTTCTTTCTTACTAGTCAGCCTTTGAGAGTAAGGAGTGACTTTTAGATATTTGTAACCCTGATGATTATGACAGTTCTCTGTCCAGAGCAGGCCCCTAATAAATATTTGCAGTTTTTATAGTTGTTGAGCTGTAATTGCTAACTTGATATTTCCTGATCAGGTAGGTTGTCTATCCTGTATTAATTGTTCTTAGTTCAGATCATGTGATCTATCCCTAACATATATTTTCTATTTTCTCTCTTTCAATAACTGCTGCCTCAAAGGGAGAAATGCAGATCTTTGGCTGAATGATCTGGTAGCAACAGATCTGAAATTCTTAAAGTGTTAGAACCAGAAGCTATTTCTCACACAGTTGATGAGTTAAAAAGAGAGAGAGAAAGAAAGAATTTGGGGCTTCCCGGTGGCACAGTGGTTAAGAATCTGCCTGCCAATGCCAGGGGACACGGGTTCAAGCCCTTGCCCGGGAAGATCCCACATGCCGCAGAGCAACGAAACCCGTGCGCCACAACTACTGAGCCTGCGCTCTTGAGCCCGCGAACCACAACTACTGAGCCCGTGTGCCACAACTACTGAAGCCCACGTGCCTAGAGCCCGTGCTCTGCAACAAGAGAAGCCACTGCAATGAGAAGTCCGTGCACCGCAAGGAAGAGTAGCCCCCGCTAGCCTCAACTGGAGAAAGCCCGCATGCAGCAAACGAAGACTCAATGCAGCCAAAAATAAAAACAAATATGTAAATTTAAAAAGAAAGAATTTGACAGAGAGAGAGCCACAGAGAGAAAGCAGGGTCTTGTAGAGAATCAAGTATTCCCAGTTTCTAGACCCTCACCAGGCCTGTGGCTCTGAGTTCTGTGCTTCTATTTCTTACGTGCAAAATGGGGCTAATAACGCTGCATGCAGCACAGGCTTGTTGTAAGAGGAAAATGAAGCAACAGACAAAATATATTAAGAATGGTAGAAAATGCTATTAAAGGTCACATACTGGTAGAAAGGAAATGAATACCAGGTACAAGTGTGTTTGGTTTTATCAATAATAAATAAAAGAACAGAATAGATATTTACTAAAAAAGGAACCGCTTGACAAAATAATTCAATATAGTATAATGTTAAATCGTGAGGCTTCCTACTGCTTTAAATATTTTAATAAACGTTTTTACTGAAGTTTAATCTGATTGCATTTTGAAATAATTGAATTTACAATAATTTAACTTACAGATTTTTAAAGATCATATTTACTGCATTGGGTAAAGCAGGTTGTATCTGTAATTTACTGTCAGGGATAGAAGGAGGGCTTGAACTGGTATATATTGTTATCTACTGTTTGGTGCAAAAGATGTAAAATGAGTGTTACGTGCTAAGGTTTTCACTAAAATGAGCCCGCTGTGAAAGTCAGTGGCGTGCCAGTTCAATTCAACAAATATTTAATTAGCGCTTTTGATTTCCAGGGAACCGTGTTGGGTACCGAGGAGGAAGCAAAGATGAATAGCATCAGCCGGAGGGAGACACGACACGAACCCAGTAACTAGGCTGTAAAGCAGAATGGGGCATCCTAATTTAGAAAAGGTAAAACACAGGGAGAACCCGGCAGAGCTTAAAATAATTTAACTTTTCCTGCCTGCATTTTTTTCTTTCCTTCTTTCTTTTTCTTTTCTTTCTTTCTTCCTTTTTTTTTTTTTTTTTAGTAACTATTGTGGATCTCTTTTCACCTGTGCCAAGTCACTTGTCTGCAGAGGATTCGCGACCCTGTGAAATCGCTCCTATTGCCTCTCCTCGCATCTTCGATGAGCTCCTCTGCCACCAGCACTGCATTTGGAATGGCATCTACTGTGTGGGTGGTGAAGCGATGGAAAGCTATTTCTGTTCTAATTATGAGAACTGTTTTATTGGGAGGAGTGGGGCAGAGGGAGGAGAGGCAGATCGGAGACTGAGACGCTCAGCAAGGTTGCTCCGAGGAGGCGTTTCTAAGGTTACTAGAAAGAGGACGGCAAGTGATATCCAGGCAGGGTTTTTTCTAAAACGAAATAAAATTTCAAACGAGGGGCGTGGGCTTAGTATGAGCCGTGCCACACGAGATTAAATGTTGGGCTTCTCAGAGGGTAATGGAAGAAGGCCCAGGAAAAAACCGAGCGAGGCGACTTCGGTAAAGCTGGGAGCCTCCGCCTTCCCTTCCGGCCCTGTTCTCCCGCGGCCTTTGTTTCCCGGGGCTGTTTTGGCTGTAACACAAAGTCGGCGCGCCCGGGAACGGTGTCATTTAAGTGAGACGCGCGGCCGAGCCGGACCGGAAGCAGCGCCCAGCTGGGACCCGTAGGGAGAGGCGGGGAGCGGGCGGTGGCGGCGGCCGTTGTGGCTCTGGTAGTGGCGGCGACTGTGGTGAGGCTACGCAGCCGGGGCGACGGGTTTGGTGCCGCAGCAGCTCGCTCAGGCTGTGGGTCGTCGCTGCAGACGCGGGCAGAGGAGGGAACAACGACTCAGCGGGAGCACTTGGCAGAGGAGGGGAAGGGGTGTGTGAGAAAGGCCATGAGTGCTTGGGGTCGGGGAGAAAGATCTCGAAACTTGTTTCTCATGTGCTACTAGTTGATTTTTTTTTTTTTTTTGACGGCAGATTCAGAAGACACCCCGCGTCTCCCTTCTCGAATTTCTCTTGGTTCTTGTCAGTTGATTCGTAGCCTGAAGTGAGTGAGAACTTTTTAATGCAACTACTGAATTCAGATGGGTATGGGATGGACGAGAAAAAAACGAGACGGGGGGAACAAGGGTAGGAGGTGGTGTCCCAGGGTGTAGGAACATCATGACGGTAATAGTAGTTAAAATTGGGAGGGTTGTACTGTACCAGACGTTGTTCTAAAACCCTTTATATGCGGTAACTCATTTAATGCCCAGTTCTGTGAGACCGGTACTTTCTTTCATTAGCCTCCCTTTATGGAGGGGGAAACAGGCTCCTAGAGGTTAAGGAGCATGCCCAAAGAAAGACATGAAACGTGCAGAGCCAGGGTTTGCATTCTGTCAGGCTGACTCCAGAACTTATCTCTAAGCTCCCCACAGTGGTTGTCCCCCATCAGAATGTGAAGAAAGTGAGGACATAAGACAAGGTGTGAGAGGCTGGTATGGTTTGAACAGATGTGATAAAACAGCGGAAGCAAGGAGTTGACATGATAAAAAGGTGTGCGATCCAGGTGTGACTTAGTGAGAGTAGAGTTGAAAGTGGCCTAAACCTTTGCCTCAACCTTGGCTAGGGCCCGCCTCTCTCGAATTCTGTGGGGCAGGGAAGAGAGATATGCACCCATACACGTAAGTTTGAAAATGGAATTATGAAGATCACAGACTCATAGGATTTAAAGATTGTTTGATGTAACCACCTTATTTAGCAGATACAGTCAAATAATCCATCCATCCGCCATTAATGTATATCCCAAATTCTATGTAATGCTGAAACCAGGAGCTGCTTTCTAACACAACTGAGTGACAATTGAGATCTTTCAGTATTTCTAAGAATTTTGATTTAAAAATGAATAGAAACAAGATAGAGTTATCTAGAACAAAGGACAAGGTGGTTTACCTTGAAGAAACTGTTTCAAAGAAAAAGGAAATCTTGAAAGAAGATAGGAAAATTTTTATCAGTCGATCGTACTGTTCACAAATCCATTAAGTCTAATGGAATACAGTAATCAAAATGTTAGCATATTCCAGAGAGTCAGTTTGTAGTAGTTGAGATCATGGGCTTAAGAATCAAGTAGATCTGCTTAGCCACGTATTTGCTCTGTATAATTGATTTACTTAACTTTGTCCTTGATTTCTTTATCTCTAAAATGAAAGTAATAGTTCCTAACTTGCAGAATTAGAAGCAGTGTTTGTAAAGAACCTAGCATAATGTCTGGAACAAAGTTGATAAATACCAGCAACCATTATTACTCTGAATCAAATAAAAGTAAAGCATTGCTGAACCTTGTATGCAGTGACATGGCAGCTTCTAGACCTGGTTTTACATGGAAAGGTCAAAGAGTAATCTCCCTTGTTGGTAATTAAAGTGAAAAACATTGATTCATTTTCTGAAGGGTAAGTTTGTTACTTCAAAGTGATTGAAAGTTTTAGATGGCTAGATAACCCCTGATATGCCCACCACAATCCTTTAAAACTATTGTGGCTTTTAAAGATAACTTATTTTTGAACTATTCTGTTTCCTGAACTGTGAGCAATTTAGGTTCTAAGTAACTGACTATACTCCTTTACAGATGCATGGTCATGGAGGCTATGACTCTGATTTTAGTGATGATGAACACTGTGGAGAATCTAGCAAAAGGAAAAAAAAGTAAGTAATTTTTTATTGATCTCTGCTTCCGATCCTTTCTAAATTGAGATGAGGTATAAATAATATTTAAAGTTTTGGCATTGTGTTTACATGTGAAGACAGCGATGCTCTACTGAATGAATTTTTGTTTATTAAACTATAATGAATTGACTCAAAAATTTGAGAACAGTTATGTAAAAGATAAAGTAATGTTTGTGCTGTGAAGGGATTTATGGAAAGGGAAGCATAAGGAAAAAACAGAAATCAGTTAAAGTTCTTAGACTTCTCTGTTGCATCTATTTTTCATTCAACTGTCAAGGACTCTACTTGCAACTGTCATAGCTAAGAAGGGGCTTGGTTGGTTGTCCCTTTGCTAGTACTTGACTGCAAAATGAGGTTACTGTGGAGGATGAGATTGTGATGCAGCACAATTCTTAGGATTTTGTGAATGAGCAGACTAAGTGGCCAGAGGAAGGAGTTCATGGAAGTCTTTATTTAATGGAAGAGGTAAGAACTCTTAGCAGATAAAGCCTGAACCTTACAAAGGAGGCCAGATCTTGGTGGAGTAGCTGTGTTTAGGGAGGGGCATTGTTTTCAGCCTTCAGTGCTTAGAAACTTGATTTTACCCATTAACTTAGGAGTGGTTGACTGATTCATATTAACCAAACTTATAAAAATTGGTTTATTATTTGACCCTGAAAACAATATATAAGCATACTAATTGGGGCTGAACATTTTTGTTGGGTACTCAGTCTTCATGGATAACCAAAAGAATAGAAATAATTATATAATAAATGACATTTTTATGTAATGAAATGAAATTAAAATGCTTTACATTTTCAAGGTTTTTCATTCAAAAATATTACTTTGTAAGAATAGAATTTGAGCCAATCTAGTTGGATAGTCTTGTGTGCTCTAGGATTATATCTATTTAAGTAACTAGGGCTGATCACCTAAAGTCTATATCATCTATAATCAGCCCTTCTTTTTCCGTTATCAGTTACTGAAAGCTTTGTTATCTCTACTTTGCAAACAAGGAAATTGTGGCACAAAAAGATTAAGTAATTTAAGATTAAGATAATGAATGAGAGAGCCAAAATTTGAACCAAGGACCCCAGGTGGTGTGACACCAGAACCCATGCATTTGTTAGTCTCGTCTTCTCCATTTTATAGGTATTAAATAAAGTCAAGATATTAATTAAGCTGTTAAAGGAGATGTAAAATATCTCATTGAAGATCAGTGAGTCTTTAAGAGTTGAATTCTTTAAAACATGTTCCAATTATGAAAATAAAGAAATAGGAAACACTCTGAGAAAAATGAACTCTTCTAATAATTTTTCTTCTTAACAAACCAGGACAGTTGAAGATGATTTACTGCTCAAAAAGCCATTTCAGAAAGAAAAACATGGAAAGGTGGTCCATAAGCAAGTTGCAGCAGAATTGCTGGATAGGTATGGTACTTCAATGTACATTACTTTTTTTTGGTTTGAGATGTTGGTGATTTGATTATATTAATTAAATATAGACATTTGAATTTGCTTGAAATAAAATTTTTCTTAACAGGGAAGAAGCAAGAAATAGAAGGTTTCATCTCATAGCTATGGATGCTGTATCCTTTTATATTTCTAGATTTTGTGACTAATACAACTTTTTTTTCTAATACAACTTTTTAAATCTATTTTCTTTCATAAAATCTTGTGAAGTCAGATAGACATAAATTTTATATTTAAAGATAAGTGTTTATTGATATGGAATTTTGCCATATATACTTCTGAGTACAATTCTCTTTTACTAATATATAAGAAAGATTTAGAGGCAAAAAATAATAAAAACATATTACTAATCTTCTATAAATAGGTTTACAAAGTCCATGTACTTGCAGATATTTTTTCCAATCCATTTTTGTCAAGCTGTCAATATTTCTCATTTTTATACTATTATCTTCAGTCTCATTTTAACTCTTACTCTTTTTTCCTACCTGGTTCTTGGCTATTTAATGTCTTTGTAAAACTGTGTTTAATAATAGGTCTGTTTGATCATTAGAGAAATGCAAATCAAAACCACAATGAGGTATCACCTCACACTGGTCAGAATGGCCATCATCAAAAAATCTACAAACAATCAATGCCAGAGAGGGTGTGGAGAAAAGGGAACCCCCTTGCACTGTTGGTGGGAATGTAAATTAATACAGCCACCATGGAGGTTCCTTAAAAAACTAAAAATAGAATTACCATATGACCCAGCAATCCCACTACTGGGCATATGCCCTGAGAAAACCATAATTCAAAAAGTCATGTACCACAATGTTCATTGCAGCACTATTTACAATAGCCAGGACATGGAAGCAACCTAAGTGTCCATTGACAGATGAATGGATAAAGAAGATGTGGCCCATATATACAATGGAATATTACTCAGCCATAAAAGAAATGAAATTGAGTTATTTGTAGTGAGGTGGATGGACCTAGAGTCTGTCATACAGAGTGAAGTAAGAAAGAGAAAAATACTGTATGCTAACACATATATATGGAATCTAAAAAAAAAAAGGTTCTGATGAATGTAGGGGCAGGACAGGAATAAAGACACAGACTAGAGAATGGACTTGAGGACACAAGGAGGGGGAAGGGTAAGCTGGAACGAAGTGAGAGAGTGTCATGGACATATATACACTACCAAGTGTAAAATAGGTAGCTAGTGGGAAGCAGCCTCAGCCCAGGGAGATCAGCTCGGGGCTTTGTGACCACCTAGAGGAGTGGGATAGGGAGGGCGGGAGGGAGACGCAAGAGGGAAGAGATATGGGGATATATGTATACATATAGCTTATTCACTTTGTTATACAGGAGAAACTAACACAGCATTGTAAAGCAATTATATTCCAATAAAGATGTTAGAAAAAATAAAAATGAAAAAAAAATAATAGGTCTGTTTGTGGACTGTCTCAGGCCTACTGTGGCTTCAGCTTTCAGGCATGAATTGGGGCTGTCTTTAAGTTATACCTTGTTTCCCTGTGATAGCCATCTCTCAGCTCAACTTTTTGGTAAGACTGTGGCTTATTACACAAGCCGCTACCACTGGCCATCCATATTACTGTTGGGAATATTGGAGAGTGAAAGTATTTCTGGGTATTTATTACTGCGGTCAGGATAGGGAGAAGGAGACGACGTCAATTAGATTATACCCACTATCCTGTAGTCACCACTTTCACTTTATTGTTCCTGATCCTTTTCTTTAAGTTATAGAAGTTTTCTTGTCACCAATTTATTTATTCCTCTTATCTCCTAACCCAATAGCTTAGCTGTCCCATGGATCTCATCTGCCACTGCTCCTTTAGCATTTCAACATCTGCTCCTCCTTCTATCACACCACTCAGTTGGGGATGTTGGGGCATCTAGTTACAGCCTGGTGAGGGTGAAAGTCTAGATCCCCTTTTCTTGCATGGCTGGAGGTGGGGCCATAGATTTTCTGGAGTGTTTGGCTGGAATAGAGTAGTTACTGCCTAAAAGTTATCTTTCCTGTTAGGCTGCCTCTCTCCTGATTATTTTGTTACAGGGAACAGACTTTTGTTGGCACTTCTTTTGTCTGTGCTTGTTGGTATTTCCAGCTATCCAGCTTCTTCACCTCCAAGTCTGGCATTTATTAAGCAAAAAGAAAACCTGGGGAACTCAGCACCATGTCATACCATGGGTCCTGAGGTCCGTAGCTGGTCTGCCTTCTTCTCTCTACCTTTCAGAGTCTTCTTATGTTTGTTTTATATATAATTTCCAAGGTTTTTAGTTCTCAGTGGGAGGAATAGGGAGAAGTGCAGTTGACCCTTGAACAACACAGGGTTTGAACTCTGAGGGTCCACTTATACAAGGATTTTTATTTTACTCTATTACTTGTGTAAATATGGGTATTTATTTTACTGTAGTACTAATGATCTGCAGTTGGTTGAATCTACAGATGCAGAGGGCTGATTATACATTATGTGCAGGTTTTGGACAATGAGGAGGGTGGGTGTTCTATCCACCCTGTTCAGGGATCAACTGTACATCTTTGCTCCATCTTCCAGGAAGCAAAGTCCCACCTACCACCTGCTTTTGTAAATAAAAGTTTTATTGGAACACAGCTGTGCTCATTCATTTAGGTGTTATCTGTGCCTACTTCCATGCTAAAGTGGCAGAGTCGAGTAGTTTTAACAGAGACCGTATGGCCTGCATATTTACTATTTACAGGAAAAGTTTGCTGACTTGAGCTCTTGAAAGATTTAAGTGACTTGCCAGTGTCACATGACCAGTTTGTGGTAGACCAAGAGCTAGAATCCAGATCTCTGGGTATCTGGCTTTTCTCTTTTTTCTTTTCTGAAATGTTAATTGCTTTCTTGCTCGTTTCAGAATTATGTTTTGATTCGCTATTCTGCTGGAACACATTGTGATCAATTAAATAACTGTTTGTCTTTAATATAATAGGCTGTAGTCACAGACAGTATTATGTCAGTTCTGTTATGTGTGTGTTCAGCTCTAGAGAGAGTACCATGGAGCTTTTTAAAACAAGTAAAATGCTCATGTGTCTTGTTGTATTGCACTGAAAACATGACTGTAGCTTCATTGAATATTAAAAGAGAGTATAAAAAATAACATGTGATCTCTTATATTTACTTCTTTTTGAAAGCCTCATGTTAGGATTTAATATAATAAAAGTTACATCTTCTATTTTGGAGGCTTTATTGTTACTGACGTAGCTAAATTATATTTTATAATGAAGAAAAATTCTCACCTTTAACTTTGGAAACTATAATTTGTTATAGTTATAGGAAACTATAATTCATAGTTATAGGAATAACTATAATATATAGTTATAGGAAACTATAATTTGAAACTATAAAATGAGTGGTGGTGTGAGGCTGTATATAGGAAGCTGTCCTTCTCTCCAGAGAGTTATTGCTTGAAAATGTTCAAAACAATATAGAGTATTCAGTAGGAAGTGAAAGCCCCTCTACTGTACCGTGTTCACTCTTAACAGTTTAATATTTACCCTTTTTAAAATTTATAAGCATGTATAGTATATATTTGTATATTTTTAAAAAACTAAATAGACTCATACTATGTTTTTTTTTCCCTACTCACTAATATGTCATTGACACCCAACTACTGAACAAATAAAATCCTTAATTTTTTGCATTTCAGTATCAAAGGCATACAAAGTTTGTAAATGACTATATTTTATACTATGGTGGCAAAAAAGAAGACTTCAGGCGATTGGGGTAAGTGTCATAAAGTTTATTTTACATAATGGGAGGTAGGTATGGGTATCTTTGAAGACTCACAGCTACTATATCTTCTGATTCTGTCATGTTCTCCTGCTTTCCATTCCAGTTTTGTTGTTATAAGGTGGAGGGGCCATTCGAAGCTTCTAGCTAAGCAACTCATCATGAACCCTATTTCTCTGGCAACAGGCCTCAGGCAGCCTGCTGATTCTGGCAATAACAGGATTGTGTGAGGAATACTCACATGCCTGATTATGCAGTGATTTTTTTTTTCCCCCCACAAGGATCTTTGAAATAATGAACTCTTTAGATCTCAGGTTTGGGATTGCTTTTTAAAAGATAGGACAAACAAGAGACCTCACTGTAATATTTCCCACACATGAAATTCCTTCTTATATCTGAGGCTTTTCTGTCAGAGCCTCTTGGTTTTGTGTGGGTTTTTTTCTCTTTACTTAACGATTTTCCGAGTTGATAGTGCCCTAAAAAACTTTATACCAGCTCATCAGCCCCAAACTTAACTCTCCTCTGAACTTTAGCCTGTATTTCTCAACAATCCCTTGTTCTGTCCCCAGTCTGTTATCATCTTGAAAAATCATCTCCTTCAGTTCTCTTCCTTACTCAGTCTTCCTAGGAAGATGTAGTAAAATGAGGTGTGAAAAAATTTTTTATATATTTTTAAAATTAGATCACAATAGGATGGTGTTACTTATTTTAGATTCTGAAACTTATTTTCATTCATCTTCCTTATCCATTTAGTGTTCATTCAGATTTCTCATCCTAGTTTTGGTAATTTAGCACCCTTTATATAATTGAACCAGCTCTAGAGATGGGTGGATTCCTTATCCATTTGTTTCTGTAGCAGCACTCTTTATAACTGCCTTTTGAAAATACTGAAATACTTTTTATAAATATACATACATATGTACATATAAAACTATCTTTGTGTATCTTATTTTTACTCAGGTGCTCAAAAATCTCACACACTGTTTAACTTAAGTTTGACTAATTTTGTTTTCATATTGAATTTAAAATTGTTTTATTTCAGGGAAAATGACAAGATAGACATGGACATTATACGAGAAAATCACAGATTCCTATGGAATGAGGAGGATGAAATGGACATGAATTGGTAATTGTACCTGTGTGAGACATAATGCATCAAATGCTATAGTCCTATCTCTCCTGCTCCCTGAGTGTTTTCTTGTTTTGTCACCTGTCCAAAGCATTTGGCCCCTGCATGGAACAGTTCTGAATCGAGAACATAAAACCGTGCCTCAGATTATTGAATCTGGTTTGATTCTTTTGGTAATTTTTAACAATTTTAACTGACTTCTTATTGCTTGACTTTGTCTTTAAAAAATAATTTATAAAATTTTTACAGTATTATTTGTTGTCTAGTAGTACGCTTCTTTTTAAATTTTAAAAATATTTTGGGAAAACGTAAAACCTGAAAATGGTTTTAAAAATTCAAACATTACAGAGGGTAAAAAGTGAAGAGTCAGTCTCCTTCTCATCTTTGACAATTAGTCTTCCAGCTTCCCTCCCTAGAGACCCACTATTAATATTAAGATATTCTATGCACATGTAAGTAATGACCTCTTTTAAAACATTAATGTTTATATCATATGTGTTATTTATTTGACATTGCCTCCAAGTAGCAAACAATGGTTGAATTTCTAAATATGTAAGATTTATATTTTTTTTAATGAATCTAGGGAGAAGAGACTTGCAAAGAAATACTATGATAAATTATTCAAGGAATACTGCGTAGCAGATCTCACCAGATACAAAGAAAATAAGGTATGCCTTCCAGATATTTATAGAAGAAGGTTCTTATTCACGTATAGTATTACTTGTTAATATACTATTGTGCCCTGTATTATTCTTTTAAGATGCTAATTCAATTCTAAGTTGTCCTCCATCTATGAAGTATCAATTGGACCATTTAACCTCAATAGCTGTGGAATTTACAAAGGGCCCTGAAGTCAAGGGTGACTCTTTGTGAGCTGAGATATGAAAAGTCTAAAATGAAACACAGGTGGCTACTGAATCTTGTTTTATCCTGACTCTAATCCAGAGCCTCTAGTGATTATGATTTGACACTTTGAATGATGTCTTCTTTCACAAATGATGTTTGAAATTGATAGGCTTTTTTTCAAATGGATTACCATATAAAGAGGCAGATGCGTATCTTCTGTTATATAAATATCTATTCTAGTAAAAATAGCTCTTATCAGTGCCAATTAGTAATGGCAAATTTCCCTTCCCACTTTACATCTTACTTTAATTTTTTTTAAATTAATTTTATTTATTTTTGGCTGCATTGGGTCTTCGTTGCTGCCTGCAGGCTTTCTCTAGTTGTGGCAAGTGGGGGCTACTCTTCGTTGCAGTGCACAGGCCTCTCATTGTGGTGGCTTCTCTTGTCGCAGAGCATGGGCTCTAGGTGCACGGGCTTCAGTAGTTGCAGCACGCAGGCTCAGTAGTTGCGGCACATGGGCCCTAGAGCACATGGGCTTCAGTAGTTACAGTGTGTGGGCTCAGTAGTTGTGGTGCGCAAGCTCTAGGGCGCACGGGCTTCAGTAGTTGTGGCATGTGGGCTCAGTAGTTGTGGCGCACGGGCTGTAGAGCGCAGGCTCGGTAGTTGTGGTGCACGGGCTTAGTTGCTCCACAGCATGTGGCATCTTCCTGGACTAGGGATTGAACCCATGTCCCCTGCATTGGCAGGCGGATTCTTAACCACTGCGCCACCAGGGAAGTCCTATTTTAGTTAATGTTAAAGTGATTTTTAAGAAATAGAAGTAGAGTTGATTTACAATATTGTGTTTCAGGTGTATAGCAAAGTGATTTGGTTATATATATTTTTTCCTTTTTCTCGATGCTTTTCCATCATAGGTTATTACAAGATATTAAATATAGTTCCCTGTGCTATCCAGTAAATCCTTGTTGTTCATATTATATATGGTAGTGTGTATTTGTAATCTCATACTCATAATTTATCCCTCCCCCCATATTCCCCTTTGGTAACCATACATTTGTTTTCTGTGTCTGTGAGTCTGTTTCTGTTTTATAAATAAGTTCATTTGTACTATTTTTAGATATCCACCTATAAGTGATATCATATACTTGTCTTTCTCTGTCTGTTTTACTTAGTATGATCATTTCTGGGTCCATCCATGTTGCTGCAAATGGCATTATTTCATTCTTTTTTATGGCTAAATAATAGTCCATTGTATATATATACCACATCTTTTTTATCCATTCATCTGTCGATGGACACTTAGGTTGCTTCCATGTCTTGGCTATTGTAAATAGTGCTGCTATGAACATTGGGGTGTGTGTATCTTTTTGAATTAGAGTTTTCGTCTTTTCCAGATACATGCCCAGCAGTGGGATTGCTGGATCATATAGTAACTTTATTTTTAGTTTTTTAAGGAACCTCCATACTCCATGCTGTTTTTCCACAGTGACTGCACCAATTTACATTCCCAACAACAGTGTAGGAGGGTTCCCTTTTCTCCACAACCTCTCCAGCATTTATTATTTGTATACTTTTTGATAATAGCCATTCTGACTGGTGTGAGGTGATACCTCATTGTAGTTTTGATTTGCATTTCTCTAATAACTAGCAGTGTTGAGCATCTTTTCATATGCTTGTTGGCCATCCAGATGTCTACTTTAGAGGAACGTCTATTTAGGTCTTCTGCCCATTTTTTGATTGAGTTTTTTGGGTTTTTTTATATTGAGCTGTGTGAGCTGTTTGTATATCTTGGAAATTAAGCCCTTGTTGGTCTCATCATTTGCAAATATTTTCTCCCATTCCATAGGTTGTCTTTTCGTTTTGTTTATGGTTTCTTTTGCTATGCAAAAGCTTTTATGTTTAATTAGGTCCCATTTGTTTATTTTTGCTTTTATTTGTTTTGCCTTGTGAGACTGACCTAAGAAAATATTGCTATGATTTATGTCAGGGAACGTTTTGTCTATGTTCTCTTCAAGGAGTTTTATGGTGTCATGTCTTATATTAAAGTCTTTAAGCCATTTTGAGTTTATTTTTGTGTATGGTGTTAGAGTGTGTTCTAACTTCATTGATTTACATGTGGCTGCCCAGTTTTCCCAATACCACTTGTTAAAGAGACTGTCTTTTCTCTATTGTATATTTTTGCCTCCTTTGTCGAAGATTAATTGACCGTAGTATGTGGGTTTATCTCTGGGCGCTCTATTCTATTCCATTGATCTGTATGTCTGTTTTGTGCCAGAACCATGCAGTTTTGATTGCTGTGGCTTTATAGTATTGTCTGAAGTCTGGAAGGGTTATGCCTCCAGCTTTGTCCTTTTTCCTCAGGATTACTTTAGCAATTCTGAGTCTTTTGTGATTACATATAAATTTAAGGATTATTTATTCTAATTCTGTGAAAAATGTCATGGGTTATTTGATATGGATCACATTAATCTGTAGATTGCTTTGGGTGGTATGGCCATTTTAACTATATTAAGTCTTCCAGTGCAAGAGCATGGTCTATCCTCCAATTTCATTGAGTCATCTTCTGTTTCCTTTATCAGTGTTTTATAGTTCTCAGCATATAAGTCTTTCACCTCCTTGATTAGGTTTATTCCTAGATATTTTTCTTTTTTTTTGGATGCGATTTTAAATGGGAATTTATTTTACTTTCTCTTTCTGATATTTCATTGTTAGTATGAAGAAATACAACAGATTTCTGTATATTAATGTTGTATTCTGCTACCTTGCTGAATTCATATATCAGTTTTAGTAGTTTTTGTGCAGAATCTTTAGGGTTTTCTATATAGGGTATCATGTCATCTGCACATAATGACAATTTTACCTTTTCCCTTCCATTTTGGATACCTTTTATTTTTCTCATCTGACTGCTGTGGCTAGGACTTCCAGTACTATGTTGAGTAGAAGTGGTGAGAGTGGACATCCTTGTCTTGTTCCAGATTTTAGCAGGAAGGCTTTCAGCTTTTCACCATTTAGTATTATGTTGGCTATGTGTTTGCCACAAATGGCTTTTATTATGTTGAGATATGTTCCCTCTATACCCACTTTGGTGAGAGATTTTAATCATGAATGGATATTGAATTGTACCAAATGCTTTTTATCTGTTGAGATGATCATGTGGTTTTTGTCTTTTGTTGATGTGATATATCAGATTGATTGATTTGCATATGTTGAACTATTCGTGTGACCCTGGAATGAACCCAACTTAATTATGGTGTATAATCCTTTTTATGGGTTGTTGGATTCGGTTTGCTAATATTTGTTGAGGATTTTTGCATCTATATTCATCAAAGATATTGTCCTGTAATTTTCTTTTTTGTTAGTGTCTTTGTCTGGTTTTGGTGTCAGGGTGATGGTGGCTTCATAGGATGGCTTTGGGAGTGTTCCCTCCTCTTCAGTCTTTTGGGAGAGTTTGAGAAGGATCAGTATGAGTTCTTCTCACTATGTTTGGTGCAATTCCCCAATGAAGCCATCCAGTTCTGTTTGCAGGGAATTTTTAAAATTACAGATTCTATTTCACTTCTAGTGATAGATCTGTTCAAATCATCTGTTTCTTCTTGATTCCGTTTTTACAGGCTATTTCTAGAAACTTGTCCATTTCTCCTAGGTAGTCCATTTTGTTGGCATATAACTGTTCATAATATCTTATGATTTTTTGTGTTTCTGTAGTGTCGGTTATTATTTCTCCCTTTCATTTCTTATTTTATTTATTTGGGTCCTCTCTCATTTCTTCTTGGTGAGCCTGGCCAGAAGTTTGTTCATTTTGTTTATCTGTTCAAAAAACCAGCTCTTGCTATTATTGATTTTTCTGTTGTTTTTTAATCTTTATTTTATTTATTTCTTCTCTGATCTTTATTATTTCCTTCATTCTGATGACTTCAGGTTTTATTTGCTCTTCTTTTTCTAGTTCTTTTAGGTGGTAGGTTAGGTTGTTTATTTGTGAGTTTTCTTGTTTTTTGAGGAAGGCCTGTATCGCTATGAACTTCCCTCTAAGGACTGCTTTTGCTGCATCCCATAGATTTTGTATGGTTGTGTTTTCATTGTTGTTGTCCCGAGATATTTTTTATTTCCTCTTTGATTTCATTGTTGACCCATTGGTTTTTAGTTCTTTAGTCTCCATGTAATAGTTTTTTCCCTCGTTTCTCTTTGATTTCTAGTTTCATGTGGTTGTGGTCAGAAAAGATGCTTGAAATAATTTCTATCCTCTTAAATTTGTTGAGCCTTGTTTTGTGTCCTAGTATGTGGTCTATCCTAAAGAATGTTCCATGTGTGCTTGAAAAGTATGTGTTTTCTGCTTTATTTGGATGTAGTATCCTGTAGATTTCAATTAAGTCTAACGGTTCTATTGTGTCATTTGGGATCTCTGTTGCCTTATTGCTGTTCTGTCTGGAAGATCTGTCCATTGATGTGAGTGAGGTGTTAAAAGTCTCTTACTATTATTGTATTCCCATCAGTTTCTCCCTTTATGTCTGTTAGTATTTGTTTCATGTATCTAGGTGCTCCTGTATTGTGTGTGTATATGTTAACCAGTGTGATATCCTCTTCTTGTATTGATCCTTTTGTCATTATATAGTGTCCTTCTTCGTCTTTCTTTATGGCCTTTGTTTTAAAGTCTGGTATGAGTATTGCTACCCTCGCTTTCTTGTCATTTCCATTTGCATGAAATATCTTTTTCCATCTCCTCACTTTCAATCTATGTGTGTCTTTAGCCCTAAAGTGGGTCTCCTGTAGGCAGCATATTATAGGTTCTTGTTTTATTATCCAATCTGCCGCTCTGTGTCCTTTG